TATTGTTTTAGGTTTACAGATAGGCAGTAAGGTTCCAAGGATAATGGCTGGATCTAGTTTTATTTATTATTGTTATTAATTATCAAGCAGAAAGAATTAAATGAAACTTTAAATATAATAAAAGCTCATGGTTTCTTAAAAAAGAAAGCTGGTAAACACCAGAAAAGAATAGAAATAAAAGGCTGAAATATTAGGGAAAATACAATTGGAGGTAAATAATAGATATATAAGACAGTATACATTCATAAAAATTATAACACAAAATTTTCAGAGAGAGGATAAAAATGGAGAAGGAAGGAGAGGATAACAATGACCATATTTTATAATGTGTCCTATGATCTAAAAAAGGAAATCAGGTCTTGGCTTTTCACAGAATGATGAATTCCTCTACAAAGGATTCAATGAAAATAGTCTCTCCTCAATGTCAACTGTGCAGCACTTGAAACGTTCTGTCATTTAGGGTGCCCCTTAATTTCCAAGCGATGTAGCTCTGAACTGCAGGGAGTCAAAAGAATTGCATGGTAGAAAACTGCCTTACGATAAAAAACGAAGAGAGCCAATTTATGTCAAATCTTGGCCAAGAAATGAGTAAATTTGAGCTCATTTGAGATAAGAGCGTTCAGTCCCTAAATTATTCGACTGCAAGTAGTGATTTTCTTTCACATTTCATGGTAAATAATGGAAATTTTTTCCTTTTTTTTGAATGAAAGGCAGTGTAGAAATCAATTTATTCCAATACATATTTACAAGGAAACTGAGACAAAGAGATTAATTAATGTCTTCAACGTCCAGCAGTAAACCTGTAACGTTTCTGCCTACAGGCCTGGTTTACCTGATCCAATTATAGGGCTCTAAAGCAACATAGCATCCCACCACTGTCCTAATTCTCTCCTGCTCTTCTGTGCTTTATCCCATGGGGTTACTCAAGGCAGGAACCTGGGAACCACTTTCAGCATTTTCTATCTCACCAGCAATAGTCTGGCCAACTCAACTTTTTAAATACGCATCAAATCAATATCCTCCTGTTTTACTTTATTGCCACCACCTTAAGTCTCATTTTCAACTTCTGAATTACTATGGGGTTTTCTACTTGTCACTCTATCTTATGTATGGATCTTCTTTGAAGAACCTTATTCACAGCTGCCAAGGTGATGTTTTAAATTCATAGTGCCTGATTATATTATTATATTATCTTATTATATGATTATATTATTCTTTTGCTTGAAAACCATCAATTGCTTGCTTTCCCTTCAGGACCACGTTTCAACTGCTTTGCATTCCACACAAAGCCTTTGATAAGTAGAGCTATTTTTCCTTCCCCTAATTTCCTAGCCCATAATGCCCACTTGTTCCTCAAGACTCAGCTCATGAGTCAGCTGTTTTGTGGAAGATTTTGCTGGCCCCCGTGCAGTACTGGAAATGCTCTATCATTTCCGGCACTCCCTAATTTCCAAGGGATGTAGCTGAATCCATGGCTCCCCCACGTTGTCTATGCAGGCTCCTTAGAAGTTTCATGATTTCTGGCCATACCATGTTCCTTACATCCTAGTTGCTACTATTTGCCACACTTCTGGTACAACACTGCATCCCTATGTTTGCGTAGATTCAAAGTTACTCTTCATCCTCCAACTCTTTTTGTCATTTTCTAGGACCCAAGCAGTCATTTCAACCTCTGCACGGATGACCCATTTACCCCCAAAATGCTCTCAAGACACTTTCCCTCCACTTACTCTCAATTACATATACACATATTTCCACACACTTGTTAAATATTTCGTCACCAGAACTCTGATCTCTATCCATTGAGTTTTTAAGAACTCTTCCTAAAATGCCTTTTCTCTGTTACATCAGCCTCTAAGTGATATTATCAATTCTCATGGATTCATATGCTAAGAATTAGCACATTCGTATCTCTCACCCAAACAGGCTTATCCATCTGCAAAACTTGCATCTCAGTTCAGATGGCATAGACAGAGCACTTCGTATTTACCTAGATCAAAACTAAGTTCCTCATCTTCCCTTACATCTGTTCTACACTTAATTTTTGACATCTCCTAAATGACACTGTAATTCATCCAGTTATTCAGTACATATGTTTATAAGTTAGTATTGATTACTGTCTATCTTTCACCATTCCTATCCAATCTTTTACCAATCCTGACAATTCTTCCTTCAAAATAGACCTAAAATGAATCTATTTATTACCAATTAAACCCTAGTCCAAGGAAGCATCATGTCTTCACTGGATTTTTACAATAGCTTCAGAACTGGTCCCAATGTTTTCACACTGTCTCTCATTGGCACCCCAAGTGGTAGATTCTTAAATGCAAGAAAGATCTCATTTTCCTGTTTAACACCTCTCCATGGATTCCCACTCACTGCAATTGAAATATAACTGAAAAAATAAAAAAAAAAATTTTCTGCCTTACACTTCTTATTGCTGGTCTGCTCTGGCTCCCACCTATCCCCTACTTCATTCAGAGTGCTCTCTTAGGCTCACCACGCTCTAGCCACTGAGATTTCAGTTCTTTGGAATGAGCCAATCTCTTTTGAGCTTTGGGGCATTGATTGATAGGGCTCATTTCTCTTCCTTGCCATTTTGAGTGCCTTGTCTCCTTTCATATTTTATGTTTGGGGGTGCATATACAATTTCTCATGACCTAGAGTCATATATCAAGACTTTATAGAATATCTCAGGCTGTCATTGCCTCTTCTTCTTTACCATATATCTCTTAGACATGGAATATAGCCCAAGCCAAGCTTTGTGGCATCATGATCTCTTGATAATGTTAAATCCATGTTGTTTCCAGAAGAAGGAAGTGTTGATGAGTGGTAAAGACCCAAAAAATGCATGCTGGTCTGTAAGGCAAGATTCTTCAAGGGTCCTTGGACACACTGATGTCCATAACTATCTTAAATGTATAGAAGAAAAATAGTCTAATTACAGAAAGTTGCATGATGCTCCTTACTGCTCAAACTGCATCTGGAATATTGAGTTAATTGTAGTCACGCTCTTTAAGGGATATATTGATGAAGACGAGACTTACGTTTCTCAGCAAAGCCTTCACTTTATGAAAGGTAAGCTCTTCCGAAAGTAAACCAGTCCTTCATTTTGTGTGTGTTCTTGACATAAGGATTGTATACGTTATGGTTTTATTTTGTTTGTTTTTCTGTCTCCTTTGACATACATACAGGAAAATAACTAAAGTAAGTTCTCAATTGTCTAAGCTCAACGAGGATGCCCTAATTTCTTTTGAGGTTAATAACTGACTTTAATTGTATTACATATTTTTATATATTAGGAAAAACTAAAATCAAGATTCTTATAGATTAAATCAAATCCTCATAGATTGCGCTTTAGTTTTAGCAAGTTTAAAATGAAAGTAAACATGGAAGAAACTGAGTCGTTGATAAGCACAGCTGTCAGTAAACTCTCACATCAAACTTTCTGGTGAGTGGGTTCCTTCTCTAGTGCATGCTAAGAGTTCTCGGTAAGGGAGGAAATTTGGGGGATGTTAACTTCCATGTTACCATCTTCTCTACACATGTTCCACACTATACTCATGTCCTCTGAATTCTCCCTTCCATCCTGTACCATGCCTGGTTTCCTGATGCTGCTGGAAGTTCTGTGCTGGGGTCTGCTTGCCTCCAGTACTGTTCAGGGTTTTTAGTTCTAGCTGCACAACCCAATTTCCACTTCAGACATACTGAATCAAAGTCTCCAGGGTTGCACCAAGAAGTTTGTGTGGAAAAGAAACAAAACAAAACAAACCTCAGTAAACGATTCTGAGGAATAGTCAGATCTAAGAACCATTGGCTCCCAACAGATCTCACTTTGGATCTTGGCTTAATGATGTGGGCAAGTTTTTTAACTCTCACAGCCTTTAAAAAATAATAAAAACACCTTACCCCCAGATAACCTTGAAGGTTTACTAAATGTTAGACAGTATGCTAAGAGCCATATGTGGATTATCTTGTTTCATTCACACAATAATGCTATGAGGTAGGCATTATTATTAATCCAGTTTACAGATAAAGACCCTGAGGCTTACTGAGTTATTAAAGTTAGAAAGGTGCCCGATATTACACATCTAGTGATTAATGAAACCAGGGTGCAAACCCAGGTGTCTACCTACAGCATTATCATGGCACTTGATACATGGTAAACAGTCACAAGTAGCAGTCATCATCAGCAACATCATATCATCAGTATCCTTATCATCACAGGCCTCAGGAGTTCACATCAAATGCTGCTCCTTCTCTGGAGACAGTGAGTAGTGCAAGCCTCACACCCTTATCTGGATTTTTGGCAGGTAAGATGTTACCGAATGTCTGATGGAAAATCTGCTCTTATCTTAGAGATCTGTACATCTTACACATTGCGGTGGGAATTTATAAGAGTCCACAATCTCATTTGAGATGAGTCACAATCTCATTTCTCATTTCATAAAATTTAATATGAAAGTGAAGAAAAACTAGATTCTCATCCCAAGTAGAAAACTCCAAATAAATTTCATGAAAGCTTCAGGAAACTTTTGCTGTTCTCAGAATGGGATTTCAGTACTGAAGAAGGTTTCCCTACAATTATGGAGAATAGAGGAAGGTCTGGAGTAGTCTACATGCTTCCTCTAACATGGGCAGTGAGGATATTTGAGTAACGATTCTAAATTTCCCCAGTCTAGGTTACTAGTTCTTTCTGTGGACTTCAACCTTGCAATTTCATTTTCTGGGTTTCCTCCCTACATATTGACTTTTCAAAATGCCAGTTATTAATTGTTCAAGTCAGAGGTAGAATTTTTTAAAAAAATACAGCTTCAGAAGGTTTTATTGTTTTACAAATGCAATGCATTTCACCACTTTACCTAACAAATCTAGCATTATTTTGCTTATTAAATGTTGTGATAAGAATATAGCACTGAAGAAACAAACCATCTGTGGAACTGTTTATTCTGAACATATCGAAAAGCAATCTTCATAAAACATCAATATGACACAGGTACCTGTCATGTTGCAGTAAACTTTCAGAGGCCCCAGAGGTCCGCTGCCATCAGGATCTATCCAGTAGTAATTGGACGTCTGGCCCAGGTGTTTGTACGCTTCACAGGAAGGCTCGTAGATGGCTGGAAGAAATGACCTACGTGAGCACAGCACAAAACAAACGGCTCCCTAGGTAAATGCCCCGGGAACATATCAGATACCTGCAAACCACTATTTAGGAGTATTTCCTCTTGCTAGAATGAACATTCATTTCTCTAAATTTAAATTCATGGCTTGGTTCTTTCTACATAGGCATTTCTGACCTAACCCAGCAAGTTCCTAACATTAAAGTTAGGACTAAAACAATCAATCGTTAAAGGTAATGTTTGTTTCATTGGGACTGATGATCACTGAAAAAAATATTTATAATTATTTAT